CCCCAAAACCCCAAAACCCCAAAACCCCAAAACCCCATTATGCTGAAAAATAATTGAAATTTCATAAATGATGGGTGATAAAGATTTTTAAATGAAAAGGACCCTTCAGGCCTTTACTAGGATTTGATTCTCCTATTTATAATTTTCTCGGTTGATTATGGTACAGATTATGACTTCTTCAGGTATAGATAGCCTTTGTTTTTCTTACTATTTAGACTGATAATACTTTTTTTGGTGTGGGTTCACTCCTTGCTCTTGTACGATGAGAGTGTAGCACAGATTATGCATTTAGGCTTGGTCTTTGGCTTAACCTTATCTTGGCTCTCTCCTTTAAGAGTGGCTTTAGTATCCCTAGTTTGGTTCATAGTATCAGATGAAGATAGCCGAGTTCTCTCCTTAAGATCTTTAGTCTTATTAATAAGACAAGGATGAGATATCTTAGTCTTCCTCTTCAGAAATTTAGATTTCTCATTAATACGGTACTTTCCTGGGACGAGTAGTGCATTCTCGAGAGAGGAGAACTGGTTCATGACCTTGCTCTGCTCTTCCACACCTGTCTTCTTCAGATATCGCTTCAAGAGCTTCAAGTACTGTTTAAAGGGATCACATTTATTTACATTTCTCAGCACTTCAGACTCCTTTCTCGAGTGACTTCACCGAATAGTCTTCATTGGGATCAAATTTATGGCAAAAGATTCTCTTAGCAATAAATTTTAACTTTCCCTGGAAATACCAGTCTGTCGATTTGACTGGCAAACGTTTTTCTGATAAATTTACACTCGAGTCTTTAAATTCAATACTAGAAGATGAGCCACAGAAGCTTACGGTCATATTTTGAAATTTCTGGGTGGCTTCATATTCTCAATGTCCTTCTTAGACCTACTTTGTCAAAAATGTCAACTTACGTGGCTGATTTTCTTGGAGAATTGGAAAAGTAATCTGAACTTTTCTTACTTGGTGAGAAGCAACATGACGACTAAACGGGGTGAAGGTAGCAAACTTACGTTTTTACCCATAGAGATCTTCTTAGTAGGACTTAAACATCAGATAGTGCCTCTTTTATTGCGTAATTTCTCAGAATCCAAACCAACAGCCATGCTTTCAGCTCTAATTCTACGAAGAGTAGGAGTCCCATTTGAATCAAATTGGTTAAAAATGCTCTTTGAGGACTTATCCAGCTTTGGCAATAACAATTGGTTGCTGATAGTTTTATTATCTATAAATGTCATACACTAACACGTACTCTCTTGGATAGTCTGTAAGCCAAGATTTAGAGAACTGTTCCTCAAGGAATTTTTATACTTCGTCTTCTTGGGCGATGTCTGGAGAGTATTTTTACCAACAATATTGGCAAGAACCTTATGAGCATTGGCTATATCCTTGCCTATCTTATCAACATTGTTGGATAAAGCTATAGATGGGATCGGGTATTGGAATTTACCAGAATATTTTCTTTCATCTTTTATAAAGGCCTTTTCCAGAGTTATCTTATTATGGAGAGCTAAAGTTTAGCATAAGATGTTACCAGAAAGTTCTCCTCAATCGAGATCAGCTTGAAGAGGAGAGATAGGGTTCTATAAGATGAGTATGAAGTTTTTACTCTTGTGGCATCAATTTTAAATGACTTCATTCTTCCTCTTCTCTTCTTAGCCTTAACATCTACTGATTGGGAATAATTCTTTGATTCATTCATCGACTTTCAGAGGAGATCCAGCCTATTTTTGCTGAAAACTTTTGTTCTATGAATTTTTTCTTTCTATAGAAAAGTGAGTCAGAATTGGTCAACTATTTCTTACGCTTTCTTTGACATAAAATGACCTTCTCATCTCTCCAGATTTTTTAGGTACGAAATCCTTTTATTGAATCAAGAAGTGGTGTATGAGCAGCTATAATGTACAGTTTAGCAAATTTTATGGGTTATCTTAGATTTTCATAGAAAGTAAAAAACTTACGATACGCAAAAGAGCTAAATCCAGCATTCGCTTGACTTCGGTTAAGAAAATTTTTGAGTTTAGATTTTCTCTTATCAGAATTAGTTTGTCTCTTAAAATCTTTCTGTATATTGATGTAATCAACTAGGGTTTTATCTTCCTGGTTATTCATCAACTTCCTGTAGAAGACCTCCCAATAAGATGATTTATTTATCAATGAAGCCAAGGAAGTCAGGGATCTCATTGCCATATTGGAAGTCACTGATCTTAAAGTTCTTCACTTCATCCATATCAATGTCTATATTTGACAGTAAGCAGTGAGGATAAAAACTTTCCTTGGTTGATAAAATCCTCGCTTGAAAGATGTGCACCCAAAAATTGGTAAAAAGCCACTTTTGGTCAGACCGGTTTAAGAAATAATAGCCTAGCATTTTTCGATCATTTTTCTTCACAGGTGACTTTTTAAGAGTGCAAAATATTTTACCCTAATCCTACCCAGTTGGCAAATGTTCTCAAAGGTTTTTATACATTTTTAAGAGTAAATTCCTCTAAGCTACTAAAACTGAAAGATAATAGAGCTTTTATGAAGAAAAATTGTTTTAATTTAGTAATTTTTGAGTGTTGAAATGCCTACTTTGGGAAGAAATCGTGGTATTCTTATACTAACTCGGATGCGAAATTATTGATTTTCAGATTAATTCAGACTAACTAAAGGATGTCTGATGGTGCTTCTTCAAGTAAAGAGGATTATAATTTGAGTAAATCGCCTTTAGAATAGCCATAATATTACAAATCTGTCTAAAAATATATGGACATTGCAAAACAGGGTTTAATGAAATGTTTCTATAACCTCCCTTTTTGAAGTAAATTATTAACAATTATAATGAGTTCTAAAATTTAAATAATTTTAGGATGGTCACCAAGTAGATGTTTCACCTAGTCCAAGAAAGTTATAAATTGGGTAGAAATTAATCAAGCACGATTAAGTACTGAATGAAATTCCGAGAAATAAGTGGAACTAATGCCAAGGAAAAGGAGGAAAGGGATACATTATCCTACCTTGAAAGCATTTCTGGTCCATCTGATCAGCTTCTATGACTGAGCTGAATGGCTTCAGTTTATTCCTTTTCATTTGAGAGCGTCTATATTTTGAATAATAGGTGAAATTCCACTATATTATGGAGATTTTTGAAAAATTTGAGGGGATCTGTTAAACAAAAATTCATCAACATCTTCTTAAATAATAAACTTAAGGATAAATAGCTGCTTTGATTTAAAATTTCATAGGACAAGTCTTGGTGATACTGACCTAGACCTGTTTCTCTCAGAGAAGTGTATGAAGTAATCAATAATTATGAAAGGCTAGGAATTATTTCTTTCAACCCCAAAAACTCAAGATGCATCATTTATGCCTATCTGCAATAGGAAATATCGAAATAGTAATAATCCAGTACATATCTAGCCTTAATTACCTGATTTGTTTTGCATGAGTACTTGTCATTTTTATTGAAATAATTTACAAAAGCTTCAATTTAATATAACTCTATTGGGGTTTTGGGGTTTTGGGGTTTTGGGGTTTTGGGG